GAAAAACGACTAATTACGTCCCAGGGCAGGGGCAGGGAAGTTGATGGAAAGACGAAAAGTGAGGGTCAGAGAAGGGACACGTTAACGAAGTCAGCAGTTGCGATCGAAAGGATATTTTATGTGAATAAGAATGGAGTATATGTATATGATAAGGAGGCGCGGTTGCAATCTCAGATGTAAGTTGGTGGCCAAGCGGCATTCACCTCCTTCTTAACACGAAGCCTTTTCTTTCCCACAACACCACTGCGACCACGACTCCCTCTTCTCCCCCCGCATACCAATGACCCCTGCGTCTGTTCCCTGCACCTCTTCAGAAGATAACTTCATTCACGGTCTCGACTATCCCCCAGACTTTTTATCTTCTCTCCCTGTACTTCTTCCCCGTCCTGCGCCGCATACACCCATCCGCGCACTTTCTGCATCCCAGTTCACATCCATTCACCACGCCGCTACTGCCTCCCACGCACCGGATCACGTCCTGTTCCCTTTCCTTCATGGCCTCGAGGGTGAAAACGAGCAGCAGAAGGCCTTTTTCTCTGTCACTTCTGACACCGCCGTAATTCCACCTCGTTTCCGTGGACTAATTTGGGTAGCTTGTGAAGACGATGATACCCCTTCTAGTGACGATGGTGATGACTCGGATGTCGTTGCTAGCGACGACTCTGATGATGAGCACGGCAGTGACGGAGGAGACCATTCCTTCGGGCTGGACATTGACATGGACATAGATACCGAACTCGACCTCGATCAGACCCGCAAGCAAGGTCTACCAAGTTCCCCGCATTCCCCTTCGCCCTCCTGTCCCCCACCTAAGCCTACTGACCTCACCTGCAACACCTCAGACCTAGACACTGCACCCCATATGCACCCTGTACAATGCCGTGCACCACGCATATATACCAATACGACAGCAGCTCGCGACCGCAGTGCCTCAGTCTCTTCTAGCTCGTCCTCGTCTTCTCGGTCCCTTCGTGTTCCTTCGCCGTCTACCCCAGCGACTTCTCTCGACTCGCCCACTCCATCATGTATGCCTCTGGGGCCATCTCCTGAACCTCGACCCCGAACTGCTCCTCTCATTGCCTCTGGCTTCAAGCTCCGGGAGCTTTTACATTTCAACGCAGAAGGGAACGCAGAGTTTATCCCTCTACGAGTCCCTGATGGCATTTCGCTACGCAATTTTGATATCCAAGTGGTATGTGTTCCCTTGCCCTTGTCCCCATGCCATTCATTTCCGTTGTTTCCAATCCAATCCTGATCCTGCTTGATTTATCGTCGAGTTCTATATGGGCGCCTGCATTACCCCGAACTGTCAGATGATCACTGCGGGGAAGTCTTGTTTGTTGTTTCAGAGCTATCGTTGACATGCATTTGCATGATGGCAAACCCAATTTGGGCGTTTATTCATTCCACGCGCCATTTTCCCCAATTGGGCACCAAGACTGCGCCCCGCTCGACCCCTGACCTTGGGCGACGATCGGTTTAGTGTTTTCCGGTGGAGCGGCTTACTCTTCCCTTTCCCCCTCAACCCAATTTCGTTTTTCCATTTTCTAAATTCGTTCCTTTCCGCTTTTGCTCACTTCATCGTCACTCCCAGCCAATCTATGCGACACTTTCGGACATTGTCGTCTATTCCCGCCGAGGCGCAACACGGGCTGCCTTTGCCGTCGCAGAGAAGTTCAAACAAGCTATCGAAGCCCGGGCTGGTTCTCGAATTCCATATAACGTTTTCGTACTCGATGCTACTCCCGCGGAGTTACGTGGCAAGCTCAAGCATCTCCTAGTCGGACCCAATACCATTAACTTCGCACAGCGCGAGAAAGATGAGATGCGAGAGCTAACACGAGCTAGCGAGATTCTCACCGTCCTGTCTCTTGAACAAGAAGGCGACAAGTCGCAGGACATCCGTTCGTGGACACCTGGCTTGGGTCAAGTTTTCCTCGGAAACGTCAACGATGTCCCTTTCTATACTGGCAACCCTTCTGACCCTCCTCTCCGGGGCATCGATCTGCTTGACAGCACTGGAAACTCGCCGGCAGACGGGATGGGTTACGACATCTGCATCGAGTGTCGACTTCGGGCACCACGGCCCACCCTAGGCTTCCTCCTTAGTGCCCAGGAGCACTTGATGGAACTCGAGCGGCGATGGCAGGCGACTGGTGCGAAGGGACCACGACCACCGCCGAACGCGGCGGCTATCGTCTATCTTGCATTCCCTTTGGTGCCCGTCGTCGACGAGATGACTTTGTTCCTCGAATTTTTAGAAAAGTTGTTGAAGCCTCATTCACAGCGCAGGCTGGGCCGGCCTGCAAAGATCCTGATTTGGAGTTCTGACGGATACACCGAGAGTAGCGTGCTTGCCCTCTCGTTGATCATGGCCTTACGCGGAATGGTGCTTCCTGAGGCCTATCTCGAGCTTCAGGTGAGTCTGCGAAAGCAAGTACGACTTTATTGGGGATTGAGCATTATATGGACCAGGTCGCAAAACAACGCAGTTTCTTTGTTTACGAGGCCGATGTTCGACTGTTAAAATCCATCGAGGCCAGACTGGCTCGTGATCGCCATGCAAAATTGCCTTCCCCCCGTCGTTACCTCTCTGGACCCGCCCGCACCAAATCCCCCAATTCCGACATCAACTCCAGTGCAATGTCCACATCCTACGAAGAATCGGGCAGCGCCCCCATATCGTCAATGCGACGGCCTCGTGCAAGCACAAGTCCACATTTGCCATCACTTGTTGATGACCATCAGGTCTGGTTTGATGATCCTCGTTTCGATGGGAGCTTTCCAAGTCGTGTCCTACCATTCCTATACCTCGGAAACCTGTGTGTACTATCGCCGCCTCCACGCATCATGTCACTTACATGGCAACCATCTTGCGCAGAAATCACGCATCAAATGCCTATATGCTTCACGCCCTCGGTATCACGCACGTGGTCTCGGTGGGAGAGTGTGCACTCATTCCTCCTCCCGAGTGCCCTGCTGGAATGGCGACGCAGGGTACGATAAAACAGTCGAGCGCTGTCGGAACGGGTTCGTCGTCAGAACGGCGGGGCAACCTATACATCGAAGAACGCGAAGGTCGCATAAAGGTTCTCGATATTAAAGGGGTATGCGACGACGGCATCGACACACTCGAGCCCCAGCTGGCTCCGATCTGTGAGTGGATTGACCGGGCGCGCGAGCAAGGTGGAAAAGTGCTCGTGCACTGTCGGGTAGGCGTATCGCGCAGCGCGACGGTCACAATCGCATACGTCATGAAGCACCTCGGAATATCCCTCGTCGAGGCGTACCTCGTTGTGCGCTCGCGCCGTTTGAGCGTACTCATCCAGCCGAACATGCGCTTAATGTATAATCTCTGTGGTTGGGAGGTGAAGCTCGCGACTGAGCGTGCGGCGGATGACCCGGAGCGCCTGCGCACCGAACTAGCTCGTGGCATCAATTGGCCCTACCTTGCACGCGAGGTGCAGCCTCCTCAACGAGAAGTACCTGCATATGTGAGGAGCCCAGAGAGCCATGCGGATAGCCACCGTTCACTTCCCCTTCTCTCCACCCATCCTCTACTTATGTTTCTCTTTGTCCGGTTCTTTTGTCTCGACCCCCGTCCCCGATATGTGTACCATGCGTTTAGTATTCCAGTCGCTACCTATTTCCTCTTCTGCACCTCTGCATTTGCATTGCCATTGCCCAAAATTCTCCCACCCCCTACCCTCGTCTCCAATTCTCATAGCCATTCATGAACATAATCATCCATCCCCCTACTTTGCCCAGTCTCATACCAACCCCCCCCTCTCCATGTACGATGACGACGACGACGACGACTCCCGTGTTGTACGTCTACTTAGCAGTGTATACTCTTGTTACCGGCTGTACAGCATTTGTGATTATGCGTCGAAGTTCTGATAAGTGGCTACTCGCACTGAAAATCTCGAGTTTAATGAGTCAATATTATGTCCCACAGTGGTTCTTCGATTTGGACAGTGTCAGTGGATGCGAGTGGTCATTCGCAACAGCATCATTCTCAGCCACTATCACCAGATCCGTATCAAAACGATGAGCTCTACAACACCAGTATCACCCCCAGAACGCGCCGTAGAGCTGCACGCCGCTCTAAGCGACATTCGGGCTCGCATCGCTGCTGCGATATCTGCTAGGAACTTGCCGGGACTCACACCGAAACTCGTAGCAGTATCCAAGTACAAGCCCGCTGCAGACATACGTACATGCTATGATGCAGGGCAGCGCGACTTTGGCGAGAACTACGTCCAGGAGCTCATCGACAAAGCAGCTGCACTGCCACGCGACGTGCGCTGGCATTTTATCGGCACCGTACAGTCGAACAAAGCCAAAGCACTCGCCGGTGAGCCTTTCCTGTCTTTCTCCCCCCTTTACTCCTTTCTGGGGAAGGGGAGGGACAACACGCTGATCGATCGGCAGGCGTGGAGAACTTGTACGCCGTGCAGACGCTCGCGAGCACCAAAGTTGCCGACGCGCTGAACCGGCACCGCGCGGCGACGCACGCCCCGCTGCGCGTGTTCGTGCAGATCAACACGTCCGGGGAGGCCGCGAAAGGTGGGGTAGCGCCGGTGCCAGACACGGACGAGGGGATGGTACAGCTCGGGACGCACGTCGTCCGCGCGTGTCCGCACCTACGCCTCGTCGGGCTGATGACGATCGGCGCGGCTGGCGCTGGCGATCGCGACTTTGCGGTACTCAGGGAGGCACGCGATCAGCTGGTGCGCGCGTTGCCGGCCGATGGGGTATGGGGCGAGGATGCGGAGGAGGGAGCAGCAGGGAGGAGGCTACTGTTGAGTATGGGCATGTCGGACGACTTTGAGTTGGCGCTGGGTGCTGGCTCGGATATCGTCCGCGTTGGGACGGGCATCTTTGGTGCGCGGCCGCAGAAGAAAGGAGGGCCTGACACTCCTGCCGGGCAGTCGTAGGAATCACAATAGATACAGGACGTACTTGCGTTTTATATCTCTTGTGAAAAGAAAAAAAAATGCCAGGACCGTGGATTGAACACGGGACCTCCAGAATGCATAGTGCTTCAGTCTGTTGCTCTCCCAGCTGAGCTACCCCGGCACACAAATACTAACCCCCCAGTTACTATTCGTGCCAGGACCTCGCCATCACAGACAGACCCAATTCGGCGCGTGGCACCAATTTCCCAGTCTAACACCTCGACGTCGCCGAGCACGGCGTGTATTGACCTTCGGACTCGTGGGAGCATACCAAGGTCAACACGAACTAAGCTAGGCTACTACTCTCGTGTGTTTCCCTCAAAATTTCATGAACCAGTCTGTGATCGGGAGTCGTCGTTGAACGCGTAACGTGTTAGGGAACGCTGTAGCGACAAGTCAGGTAATGTGTTTACCGTGTGCGTAGGGGAAGAGGGGATTGGGCTGAAGACTTGGCAGATACGCCTTGTGCCGCACGGCAAGTCCTGGTGGGGCTTGCACATCAGTTCGGTTCGTGTCCTCGGTAAGAATATTTAGAAGAAACTACCTGAAACCTACTCTTAGTATGGCCACGAGGGTGCTCCAACAATTAACTTGGTTAGATCTGGCGATGTTCGTTCCTTCGGTCTTTCTGCCCACTTTTCCATTTTCGTATGGTTTCGCCGTCTGCAGGCCTTGCATATAGTATGCTCCCCTTGGCTCCAACAATAATTAGGGGTGCACCCACATAACTCGTGTATGAAATGCTATCTCTCCATGCTGTGGCGTTTCTGCGCTCTTCCATACCCCCGCGGTCCTGTTCGTTCCGCTGGGATTGTATCACCCCCCAGCGTGATATGAGTCCGCTAATCGCTGGTTTATTCATGCCGCTATCACATTCTCATTTCCGACTGATGGCCTCACTCTCCCCCCCCAGCTACCGCATGTTTTCTGATGTTCAATTCGTTTGGAGTCTAGCTCGTTTTTCCCCCAATTTCTAGCACATTCGACATTCCTCAGGTTCTTCTTTAGCTTACCCTGGAAGGCGCCATCTTTTTCGTCGAATATCCAAACATGGCTGGCGGTTGACAAAGACCGAGGTCATATATCCATCAGCTTGGAGTCGCGGAGCCACGGAGATGAAACTTTTCCAAATTCCTCGAGATCACGTTGCGTTTGGCTTCATTTTACGTGGAGCCGTCGATGGCCGTCGATGCATTGTCCACTGAATGCATACATTCCCCGCCAACGCCTTTTCTTGCAGGTCGAGACCCGACTATAGCAAATCACCGACTTCGACCTCTAGGTCTGGGCTCCTCCGCCGCCCTGTGTACGGTGAGCCTTTTGGTCTGCCTGGGCTCTCGGTAGCCCATTTTCCGAACAACCGTCTCAATAAGGCAGGTTGTGGCTATAGTATCCTATCGGAAAGGCTCCAGAGATCTTCGCTCGTCGTCAAGTCATTTGCGTCTTGCACCAGCGCTTTTGCCTACAAATAGACTCGGGGCCTTGTTTCTGCGGCCCTTTTTGGGTTCACTGCCATAATAAACACTTCGCAACAATCTCTGGCTATCGAGCTTGTTTTGCTAATCGGGTCCAACATCGGTATTTCTCCATTCTAAGTTTTCTGGGGAACAATGGAACGAAATAACTCGATACAGCTGGGGAAATGTGAAAGTTTACTACGTTATTTTGCGGCAATCGCCGCATACCTCGGTTCTCAATGCGATGAGAAAAGTGATGTCCGTGATAGTCTTACCCTATGTACCACGCCCCGCCAACGTGGCCATCTCACACTACCCTTTCAGAACAACGTTTTCCCCTCATTTTCCCACCTACTTCAACCAGCTGTTGCCCTCGTCAATGTATTCTTACTGCCCCCCTACTCCTACCCCAGAGCTTGAGGCTCTAGCCTACAACGTTCCGCTAACGTTATTTTTACTGATTGGACGTCAATGTCTTCTGAGCCGTACCAAGACTCTGGCGCGCACCGTATCAAGCGCAAGCCAGCACCACCATTTCCGTACTCAGCGCGCTACCCCGAGCCCGACCCAACCGACCCTTTTGCCCCACTTTCCGTCCTCCGTGATCGTACCGCGACTCTCACAAACTCAGCATACGAGTCTCCCATTGCCATAATTCAGGACCCAGCGCCTGGAGCCTCCAAGGTGCATGATCTCGCGACCTTCATTGTGCACCAGCGAAAGAACGCCACTTCTCCTGGCTTCCAGTTTGGAGAGAACCGCTGGTTAGGACATGCATCCCAACTACGCAAAGGGGCTTCTTTGGGCCTTGGACTACACGAAAACTCATCAAGCGAAGCCCCTACGACGAGCGGTCTCTCTTTGACGACGCCGCGCCCGGGTGCGAGAGAGACACGGCGGCGCGAGTCGCGGCGTCGCTCACAATCGGTGTTTGGGCTGCGCTCGGGCGCGTTTTCCTTCTGGGAATCGCGGGGCGCTCTAGAACCCCAGTCCAACGTGGACTCGTCTGTCAGCCGACGGCACTCGCTGCTGCCGTACGACAGCAGTACAAGTGTGCTTACATCCTCTTCGACTTCATCGGGGGAGTCTACACATGGAGTACGGCAGGCAAGTAAGGCCCCCGTACGACCGCGCTCATGCAGCAGTTCGTTCGTGACCGCAGCATTACTTGATGGTGTTCCAGAGTTCTCAAGCGACGCAGTGCCGGTACACAAGAGCATGCACGTCATGCAAGTCGACCTGCCCGCGCCTCAGGTTGTAGAGGAACGCTCAGAATGCCCTCCTTCGCGCACCCTCTCTCCCCCACCACTCCTCGAGAAACGTACTCCATCAGAATCATCGATTAGCTCTTGGTCCCGCGACTTGGCCTTTTACTCTGCTACTTCACGCCCACAGACCCCCAGTTCAATTCAGAGCAGCCGTCCCACCTCCTTGCCGGCATCTGTCGCCCTAACACTCCCTTTTGCACCTGTCGCCCTCTCACCTGCATCCCCGCCGCTCTTCACCACTCCACCCCAGACATCTTCCTCCCACCAAAACGCTCCGACAGTCGCAACCTCTCTCCCACCCAGTATCTCGAACTCCCGTCGCGTGTCTACGCCACCGGAGAACTTAGATGCCTTACCTCTGCAGTTGAACTTCCGTTTCCCGAAACAGCAGCGATGTGTCGAATCAGAACCCGAGTCTGTCGAGCGTGAGAACGGGCGCTTCGCCCGGCTACGTGCACTCACATCAACAGGATCCCAAAGGCAAAGAATCAGCGCTTCATCGTCGCTGCGCAGCACACTGCAGGCTGCTGCCGATGCTGCAGACAGGCTTGCTTCTCAAGACGCTTCTATTGACACACTCCCTCCGGCCCCCACTCCTGCAGTCACGCAAGCACAGGCCATCGTGGCCGAGAACCTAGTGACGTCACCCGTTGCCGAGACTGCTCCCGAATGGAAGGAACGCGAGGTGGACCAACGCCCACAAGTGCAGCCAGGGAGCCAGTCCTGTGCTGCCGAGCGACATAGCCGCGCAGCTTCCCCTGTTCCGCATCAAAATGTCGACAACGCGTCTGCGTCGCGTAATCAGAGCGTCACCAGCGCGAGACCCACACCTTCAAAGCCTGTTCCCAAGCCAGAACCAGAATCCACGCCTGCGTTGAAGCATCGTTCACTATCTCGGAGCTCCCAAAGATGTTCATCGAGGCGCAGTACCTCGACACCATTGCCGATATCCCGTCCTCTACCGAGCCCGCCCACTGTCACTGCACATCCAAATCCGGAGCCAGTCGCAAAGTCCCCACCTACCCCTCCCCCGCGTGCGAATGGACACGGACTGACGCGCACCCAAGTTCAGCACGCAGCTTCGACATCCACACACAGCGTCGCCCACGCGGCGTCGTCCGCAACGTCACACCCCGGCCTTCCTGCAGGCGCAGCAGCCCCACGTGCACCCTGTGCGCTCCCACCTGCTCCACAATCCGCTCACCCCTTTCCGCCAGCCCAAGCGAGCAACCTGCCCCCGCCACCACCTCCACGCGCCGCACACACCATCCCCCTGCCGTCGCGCATGGCGCATGCGTCGGCCTCGAGCGTCGTACAGTCGGCATCTTCGAGTTCGTCGCACGTAGACAACATGTCAACGGCATCGGCGCCTCAGCTGCGGCGCCGCGACGCGTCCCCCTCGTCGTCGTCGCATGGCCGGCATAGTCCTCACATATCTGAGAGACATCACCATCACCACCACGGCCATCATCCTTATCATCTTGCACACCCACGCTCGCTATCGGAGCCAGGACCATCGGGAATGCTCAGCTCGACGCAGCTCGCACATGCCGCGCGCATGCAGGTCGTGCGTGAGAACGGCGTGCGCGTGCAGTTCGGAGAGTTATGGCGCACACAACGCACGGTGGTGATCTTCATCCGGCACTTCTGGTACGCACACATCACTCGTCTTTTTAATTCCCCTGGGGTCGCTAAAACGTAAAACATCATGCAGGTGCCCGTTGTGTCAGGACTACCTCACGTCGCTCATGCGCGACGGAGACCACGCCGCGCTCTCGCGCTCCGGCGTGCGCCTCATCGTGATCGGATGTGGGTCGTATGGGCTCATCCGTTCCTATCGCCGTGCGTGTCCCCAAAACTACCTGAAACGTACTGACCTCCGCCTAACGGACGTCTCTCACACCGACAGAGATCTTCCGCCTACCCTACGAGCTCTACGTCGACGCGTCGCCAGGCCAGGAGCTCTACCGCGCGCTCGGCATGGGCCAAGCCCCGTCCGGCGCACACAAGACGCGCTCCGCGACCGAGGGCAGCTCGACAGGATCGTACGTGCGACACGGCGCCATGAGCGGGCTCGCGATGGTCGTCGCGCACGCCCTGCGCGTCGGGATGCCCGTGTGGGCGCGGGGCGGCGACGCCGCGCAGCTCGGGGGCGAGTTCGTGCTTGGGCCGGGGTACGTGGCGGAACCCTAATATAATCCTTTCCCCCTTTTCTTGACCCCGATCGCACCAGGCTGAGCTGCACGTATGCGCACCGGATGCAGAGCACGGCGGGCCATGCGCCGATCGTGGACGTCCTTGCGGCGGCGGGCGTGCGGCCCACGCGGAAGCACGCAGGAGGGCCCGGCGCCCCCGCGTCGTCGGCGTCGGTGATGATGCAGAGCGCTGGCGGCGGG